TTTTTTCCCCTACTTTTTCCAGTCTGTTTCAGGCCAGGTTTTAGGAGATGTACAAATCGTATCTCCTAAAAGAATCCCCATTTGGTAACAGGTTGAAGGACATTTTTAAGAACCTGTAGTGGTGGCCAATAAATTGTTTATAGTCAAAGAGGATGAGTGAAGGCCTTACTGAAGACAGCCATATTTCTTACCAGGAGGACATCATTTGTCTTCTGTCAAGTTCAGGCTTGAAAAATTAAGTATTTACTTCTGAATATTATTTTATCTAAGATATCAGACTTTTTAAAATATAAATCTATTTATCAATGTGTAAGGAAAAGATTTAACTCTAAAATTTTCTGTGGTAGAAACATTTTAATCGAGATACTTGTAAGAAAACTGCTAGAATTTACTCGGTGTTGTCTGTATCTCTTTTGCTGAAGATGCAAATGTTAGATTCTTCTGAGAGCTTTTAAGTCAGACCATGCTTTCATGTTTAGAGCAGTGTTGTCCCTACTTCTCTTTTTCCAGAAAAGAAGATGTTTTGGAGTGTCCATATAAAAAGAAATACCTGTAATGTACAGATTTGGTACAAGATTTTCCATTTTATCACTTCCAAAAGAGGAAACCATATTGCCTTCTGCAAAACTCTATTTATTCGTGGAAAACAGCAGCTCATTACTAAAAGGAAAGGACAAGTCCTCAATGACACCACGCAGTACGCTTGTCCATAATTAACACCATTTATTAATCACAGTTTACCCATCTACTCAGATCAGGAATGACCTTTAAGTGTTTCTAATGTGTTTTTGAAAGTCCAACGAATGAACCTTTTACTAGAGGGCTACCCGTTATAGGAAAACACAATTCTATGAATTTCCTTATTTTTTCTTTCTTTTTTTCTTTCTTTTCTTTCTTTTTTCTTTTTTTTTCTGTAACATCTTTGTTGTTGTTGTTGTTTTCCATTACACACTGTGCTTCCTTCTTAACAGGTGTTAATCCCGAGTCTGCGTAACAGTGCTGGTATCTCTCTTTCAAACTGACAGCATTGATTTTCTTCAGCTTGTGGGGCTTAGAGTAATGCATTTGCCAGAGGCTGAGCTAAAATGGGGTCCTGAGCCCATGGGCATGTGTTAGGAAGGCTCCATGGCAGGCTGGACAGAAATGTTATGGACCAATAGAGCCCTCATGGCACTGACAGCCACCTCTTCTACAAAAGTTCTGGCCACCATACTTAGTAATGCCTTTTTAAAGTGATTTTTCTTTTTTTCTCTATTGGAGTACCATTTATTCTACCTCATAATGTGCTGCCTTTAGCCAGGTAAAATAATAGAATCATGGAATGGCCTGGGTTGAAAAGGACCACAGTGATCATCTAATTTCAACCACGCTGCTATGTGCAGGGTCACCAACCACCAGACCAGGCTGCCCAGAGCCACATCCAGCCTGGCCTTGAATGCCTCCAGGTATGGGACATTCACAGTTTGTAGTAGTTCCTTATAGCAAACTTAATCTTATTGAAAACCAATTGCCATTTTCATGTTTTCTTCAACACAACCTGAAGTGATATTTCAGTACTATTAGTAATATTACATTGTGAGAATTGTCAGGCTTCTGTGTCTCACTCAAAGACACAGAAGCACAGTCTTCAGATGTAAATTCTTACATGCTTTCTCTCAAGCATTTTGTAGCACAGCAAGGAAGCCTTGGAAGAAAAGGAGTCTCCTGGCATTTGGCTATCTCACTGAGAAAGACGTTATTGGCTTGGTGTGGACATCTTGTGCTTCTGGCACCAGATTCTCTCTTTTCCTGATTATTTCCCCAGGTAGGTGATCAAGATAATTTGAAATTCACATTTAATGTAAACCCCAAACATTAACTTAAATATACACAATTTTATCCCAGTTATATTAAATTCCTGTAAACATTTGCAAAACAAATGGTAAACTGGGATATATGGAATGTAAATAAGTGTTGTGTACAAGCAACACAAAGGCACTGGAAGAAATGGCACTGCAGAAGTTCTGGGAGTGATGTGTGTACAACAAGCCAAGAGACGATGAGCAACGAGGTACTGCAAGAAAAATTACAGGTAAGAATAAAAACAGACAGAACTTGGATGTAGGGCAAACTCTGCTACAGCCATGCCAGGGAGAAGGCTCCACAACACAGATGTGGAGTAACTGCAGTATGATACAACTCAATTTTGTGCTGAGGTTTTGTTAAGAGAGCATATAAGGATGCCATAGATCATGCACCATCGTTACCACTCCAGATGAACTTGGAAGAAATGATGAGGGCTGGACAGTCAGGGCACTGTGAAGATGACTGCTCCTTAGAGTGGGAGCTAAGCATGACAATGGGGCAGACAAGGCAAAGGCCTCACTAGCCAGGCTCTACTCCATTGCTCCAAGCAAGGAAACATGGCAAGTCTGTGGCTGGCAACAAGGGTTAACCAAGAGTCCAGCTTAGCAGACAATTCTTTGGTTATGATGAAGGTCCAAAGTGAAGCTGGGTCATCAGTTGCCAGGTTAAGGTCAGGATTATAGGTCTGGCACTAACAACCAGGGTCAGGTACAGCCCCTTGATGACCAGGTTGGACTCAATGACAAAGCAGGTCCAAGGTCAAGCCAGTAACTCAGTCTTCAGCTCACAGACACAACCAATGACCCCGTGGCCAATCACGTGGTTGAGCTGCAGACTGACACTCTTCTGACATAACTCGGGCTGGGAATGAAGCCCCAGGTTGGAGCCAAGCCAGAGTTCCTGGGCCTGAGGGCAGGGTGTGTGGGCAGGCCTCAGGTGAGGCTGGCCCGAACCATTAGGCCTATGAGTACCCTCGGGGCTCTGACCTTGATGCTTGATGCCCCTTTTTCTTGTCACCACGGATAACCCAGGCCAGACACAGGGAGCCTTGTTATGTTCATTGCTATACCCATACTTCCTTCCATCACTCTCCCAAATTGCAAGCGAACATCAGTGCTTGAATACTTTATATCTCAGCTTGTGAAGGCATTTTTTTCCTTTCTCTCTCCCTTTCCATCTTTATACAACTACTATACATAAATTTCCATGTAAATTTTTTCACTGGGGATTTATGTCTGTAGTGACAAGCTGCTGCTGCTGTTCTGCTATTAGATGAGCCGGTTGGCAAAATGTTGACCACGGTGAGCAAAGATAGCATGTCCAAACACAACGCTTATGCATGCTTTTACTTACAAAAAGGTTAAACTTCAGTGCATGAAAATCTATACAGGAGCACTTTTGCTTGTTTTTGTATTACAGGCAGTCAGAAAAGTTTAGAGCGGTACTTAAGTCCTACAGCAGTCTGAATGCTTTAGACTGGGATCTTGTTTTATGGGTCAAACTAATGGCCTGTAGTCATGGGAAAGATGTGCCAGGCCCCAGCAGTATATACCTGGGGTAGAACAGCACCTCCTCCAAACATTTTCTCATCAGGCACTTCTAGAAAAAGAACATATTTGTTTTAGGAATAAAAACTTCACTTTCCTTCCTTATGCATCTTAACAGCAAACAAACCTCTAGAGAAAACCATTGCATTCAGAGCTGTATCTGGGAGGAGAAATCCCATCAGGGTATTTTGGAGATTTTTTCATCTCTTCCTGAAATTAGAAACTTAATGTGTTTTAAAGGGAAAACAAATATTTCTATAATCACAGTTTCCCCTGATCTGGAGGAGGAGGGAAAACGTTTTTCATACATCTTTGATACTCTCAATACATTCATAGCAAAAGTGGAGAAAATTAATAGATGCTCCCTTGGGTTTCTGGAATTCCGAACCCTCATCAGAGACAGTAATTATTTTGGGAGTCTTTCACTATTCCCATAATTGATGTGTTTACTTCCTTCTTATGACAGCATGTTGTAATTTTTTCTTCCTGATGTAGCCTGATGATTGCAGCCTGTTTTTGTTTTCAGTCCTGCGTGCTGATGTGCTAAAACTGACTCAGCAGATGGTTTGTGACAGCAGAACAACCAAGAATGATGCAGCCCTTCCCTCTAGTGAGATGCTAATAATCTGCACACCTAAAGATAGCATAATGTGAATTTGTAGGTTGACTAAATTTAGTTAATTTTACACGTGTGGGTTCTTTATAGAGACCACTTTTGCTTGCACTGCACAACCTAAGGCTCCTTTGCATTTTTTTTGTAGTATTCATTGTGATGTTCTGCCATCCCTTTGTGTATTTTAATGCTTTTAGCTGTGACCAGTGATAGTAACTGGAACTATATTGAGAAGGGTTAAAACACGCATCAAATGAAGCTTAAATCCAGCGGGACACACCATGCTACCTTCGCTATGCATAAACACTGGGGGATGAAATGCAGGAGAGCAGCCCTGCTGAAAGGGATTCGGTGGTCTTGGTCAGCAGGAAGTGGAACGAGGCAGCAGCATGCCCAGGCAGCAGGAAAGGCCAACCGTGCCCCGGGGTGCATCAAGCATGGCACTGCCGGCTGGGTGAGGGAAGGGCTTGTGCTGTGGCCTCACTTCCAGCACTGGGTGCAGCTTTTGGGGCCACAGCACAAAAAGGATATATAGGAGGGTGTCCAAAGGAAGGCTACAAACACGAGGAAGGGTCTGGAGGGCAACCGGTGTGAGGAGCGCTGGAGGTCCCCTGGTTTGCTCAGCCCAGAGCAGAGCAGGCTGAAGGAAAGGCTCTGCACCAGACGGCGGTGGGCATGGAACAGCCTGCCCAGGGCAGCGGGCACGGCCCGAGTGCCAGAGCGCCGGGAGCGTTTGGACTGCGCTCTGAGACATCGGCTTTGTCATTTGGGTGGTGCCGTGTGCAGCCTGGGGCCGGACTCAGCGATCAGCTGTGCGGCGCCCGCGAGTCTCCCACGCACGGAGCGGGAAGCCCGGGCCGCCGCGCAGCGCCCCCAGCGGCCGTGCCGAGCCGTGCCGGCCGAGCCCTCCCCCAGCGGCGCGGACGTGACGCACTACACCGGCGACCGGCCCCGCCCCGGCGGCTGTGTGCGCCCCACGCGGAGCTGCGCGGAGCATGGGGCGAGCCGGCGGCGGCGGGGTCGGCGGCGGGGAGCCAGCGGCGCTGGAGGCGGTGCGCAGCTTCGAGCGCTGGAAGAAGAAGTACAGCCGGCGCACCAGGCGGCTGCGGCTGCAGCGCAAGGAGCGGGAGCGGCCCGAATGGCAGGTGGAGCGCGACGGCATCGAGCGCCTGGTGCAGCGATACCCGCAGGTACCGGGAGCGGGGCCTGGGGTGGTAGAGAAGGAGGGAGATGCACCTCCGTCGCCAGGGAGCGGGAGCGTTCCGTGGCTGCTGGCGGTAACGGGTCGGTGTGTGGTGGCAGACCGGAGGGCTTCACCTACGTGAGGCGGCTCTGCGCCTCCCCGCGGGCGCTACGGCGGTAGCGAGAAGGGACGGGAAAGAGCGGGCTGAGGCGGGAGGGGTGGCGGTGTCTGTGAGCCGCGTGTCCCGCTGACCTGGCGGCGGTGTCCGCGTGCTGGAGGTGGGGCACAGCTGTCCCCGTAGGTTGTGCCGCGCAGGCAAGCATCGCACGTTCTGGGAGTTACTGGAAAAGCGCCTAGAACACCGTAATGTCATTGATCACAGCCAGCGGGGGGTCACGAGGAGAAAGGCCTGTTCGATGAGCTTAAACTGCTTTTGCGATAAGGATACCCACCTGGCTGTCCGAGGGAAAGCCCGTTGATGGAATGGGTAAAGATTACAGAAAATGGAATTATATAAAGCAGGCAGTCGTTTACTAGAGGACTCCCCAGGGCCATTTCTCTTTAGCGTTTTCATCAGTGACTGGATGAAGAACTTGAAGATCTACTGAGTTTGAGGATTGTATTAAATTGGGATGAGCTGTTGACTCCTGTGAGTCCAAAATAGCTTTGTGGAGAGATCTCAGCAAACTGGAGGTCTAGGTATTCACCAGCCTCTTGGAGTTTAACCACAGCAAGTGCCTGATCCTGCGCCTGGGATGGGGGCAGCCCTGGATCTATGGGGAAAGACTGGGGGATGGGAGGCTGGGAACAGCCTTATGAAAAGGGATTTGGAAGTCCTGGTCCATAGAAAGCAGAATGTGAATCAGCAACATGTTCAGGCAGCCTAAGGGGCCAACCATCTCTGGGAAATAGCCATCTCTTAAGCTATACCGTACAGTGAGCAGAACTGTAATTATGGATAATGACTTAGGGCAACCATGCATGCTGAGCACATATCCTGCCAGCTTTTGCTGAATTTGGTGGATAAGGAATTTGCTAGAAGGGCACAGCCTGAGGATTGTGGTCAATGGCTCTATGTTCAGATGGAGACTGGTAGTGAGTGGTGTCCCCTAGGGGTTCGTCTTAGATCTGGCACTCTTAAATATCTTTATCAGTGACAGAGATGCTGGGATCAAATGCACCTTCAGCAGGTTTGCTGATGAGACCAAGCTGAGTGCTGACATTGATACAGCAGAAAACGCCATTCACAGAGACTTTGATAAACTTGAAAGCTGGGCTCTTGTGAACATAATGAAGTTCAACAAAGCAAAATGCAAAATCTTGCACTTGGATAGTGGTAGTCCCAGATATGTATGCAAACTGGGAAAGTAATTCCTTGAGAGTAGCCCTGCTGAGAAGGACTTAGGGGTTCTGGTGGATGAAGAACTTAGCATGAGCCAGCAGTGTGCGCTTGCAATCTTGAAGGCCAGTGGTATCCTGGGTTCCATCAGAAGAGAGGTGGCCAAGCAGGGTGGGGGAGGTGATTGCCCCCCTCTACTCTGCCCTTGTGAGACCCCATCTGGGGTAGTGCATCCAAGTTTGGGGCTCCCAACATGGGAAAGATGTGGAGCTGTTGAAGAGGGTCCAGAAGAGGGCTACAAAGATGATCAGAGGGCTGGAGCACTTCCCCTATGAAGACAGGCTGAAGGAAATGAATTTGTTCAACCTGGAAAAGAGAAGGATGCAGGGAGTTCTTATTGCATCCTTCCAGTATTTAAAGGAATTTATAAACAGGAGGGAAATCAACTTTTTACACGGGTAGATAATGACAGAATAAAGAGGAATGTTTTTAAAATGAAGGAAGGAAAATGTAGATTAGATGTCTGGGAGAAGTTTTTTCCTGGTGGGTGTGGTGTTGGAACAGTTTGCCCAGAGAGGTTGGATCCCCATCCCTGAAGGTGTTTAAGGCTGGGCTGGATGGGACCTCAAGCAAGCTGATGTAGTACTCAATCTAGTGCCTGGTAGCCCTGCCTGTGGCGAGGGGCGTTGGAACTTGATGATCCTCAAGGTCCCTTCCAACCCAAGTCATTCTATGAATTTGCAGCCACTACTGAGGAGGATCCGTGGCCATTGTACTTGGTTATGCAGCACTCAGCAGTGCTGATGAAGAACTGTTTTGTTGGTTATAGTTTGACTGAGTAGAAAGTAATGAGACTAGGAATGGGAGAAACATGTCAGCTACCATGAAGAGGTCATGATGGCTCCTTTGGTTAAGATTCAGCAAGGTGATAGTGTTTCACTGATCTGTAAGCTTCAAAAATGGTCAAGTTACTATTTTGAGTCAGATTATTCCTGAGGAAAAAGATGGGCTAATTGCTTCCACCCTGTGATGTTTTGGTGATGATAAGTAAAAATGATTAATGCAGTTTGAGTCTCAACTTGTTTCAGCAACACACTTTTACTCACTGTAGAGATGGAAGTCCTACTTGCTGACAGAAAGGAGTTGGTAGTGGTCAGGCATTTATCCATTGGAATGAAGACTGGGTAAATGTATGTTTGTATCAGGATTGTTCTGGGGACTCGCTACCTCAGCTGATTGGGGTTTTTTGCTTTTATTTCTCCAGGAGTGACTTGTGGTGAACATACACATGTATGATTGCTTAGGTTCCTGTCTTCAGTTCTTGTCTCCTTTTCTTTTACCTGAAAAGGTTTTTCTCTTGGTCATCTGCATTCCTTCCTTAAGTCCCTAGATGTAGTTACAGTCAGGGTGGGGGTTTTGAGGAAGGGGCCATGTTCTGCAGGAGACGGATCCCTACTTAGGGGCAGGGGAATCAAAATGCTCTTCGAGAAGCTCCTCTTTTCACAAAGATCCTTGGCACTTCAGCTATGGCTGGGTTAGGTCTTTCACATACCTTAAGGTGCCCGTAGATGCAGTATGGAATAGGGGAAGCACTGCTGCTGGATGCAATGCCACACACCTTCTCTCTCTTGCATTGTCTACAGCTTCCAGCTTGAGAACCACTTCAATAATACAAGACAGGATTAAACAAAACTAAGCATACTAGAAACACATAACATAAACATGCATTTATTGTTGTCACTGTTGGTATGGAGAATGTCTGTCAGGGTAGCCAAAATCGTAGAAGTTTCAGTGTGCCCAAGTCTTGGGACCCTTGTTTGTGGTGTGCTTTTGGATTATCTGTTATTTGTTGAGCGAGTGAATATATTGCCTGAGTGGATAAAGCTGTTGATGGACATCATCTTCTCTGTTCAGTTGTGCTCACAGCCGAGTTAATGTGCTGGGAAATGACTGTGTGAGCTCCTTCTAGTCTGCTTTGTCAAATTAGGTTAGGTCAGACCACCATCTGAAGTGTTTGAAATGAGCAGGCTCTTCTCATCTGAAACAGATCAGAGAGCTCACATGGGCACATTTCCAGCGTGTTAAAGCAGGTAATAACTTTTGACAGGGAAACAAACTGAGAAGCAGAAATTGTTATTGTCTTCTACTGGTGCATGTAGTTATGGAAGAGATTGTCTATCAGCAGATCTGCCTCTTTAGCAGCCATCCCTCTTATTTCTGCCATTCTGATTTGATTTAATGAGGAACCCGTCTCCTTGGAATTTTAAGTAACTTCAGCAGATAGTTTTTGTGTGCCTGAAAGATAGCAGAGCCAAGAAATAAACTGGGAAGCTTTGTGATATGGCCATTCCTGTGCATGCTCTTCTAATACTTTTCTCACTCCTTCTTTCAAGTCTTTGAAAGAGTTTTAGAGGAGTTCAGTGTAGAAAAGCAAAATAATGGTTGTGTCCATGATTAAGATGTCAGCTCCTTTTAACTCTAGGTGACCCAGCAATAAACTGTACACTGAAATCCTTCAAGCAGCCTCTAATTATTTAAACAGTTTTGGGCTATTAGAGTAGTCTGTTTTCTGTGTCAAAGCCTAATACATTTTAATAATGTATTCCTTTATTTGCACATAATGAATTGCTTTGGTGTCAGTGAAATAGCTTTACCTCCTGTGGACGCACTGTTTTCTGACCTAGTGTCTTGATTGGAATGAAATGGAACTTCTGCGCATCAATGTGTTGTGATCCTTTAGCATACAAAGTAGTAAGACTGGGAATTGGTGCAACTTGCAGTATTGCATACAATAAAACATCTTCAAAATTATCAATGGAGTTTGGGAACTATAGGTCCAAAATTACAATTTGTGAAGGTCAGACTTTCTGATAGTGATTTCATATGGGAGTTTTCCCCCCTGCCCAGAGATGTACTAGCTTAAGGTCTGTGCTCTAAGCACAAGCAGTTATTATGAAAAATAGTTTCATTTGAAAATTTGGTGAAAGTAGGATTGCTCCTCAAGGACACAGTGGAAGTTTGAAGTCAGTCTTGCAAGAGCGAAGTTCTGAAACGTGTCAAAAAGGGGTTTTAGTACAGGGGTTACTGCCTTTGATCTCAAGGCCAAGTTCATGCATTAAATTGCTTACTGTTACTAGCAGGAATTCGGCTGAAAAGAGTAGTGTTGTGATGCTTTAAGCAGGTGTAGGTGCTCATAAGAAGTACAGTGCACAATTTTTTAATAGATAAGGCTGGCAGAGCGCTTGGTGCTTCAAGTGCATGTAAGTGTGATTTGACAGCTCAGTAACTCTTCATCTGAGGCTTTCTGTAAGAGTTGCTATCATAAGTTGTCAAAGACATCTGAGGACCATTTTGCTTGGCTCGTTTGCTGGGAGATTTCTGCTCAGCAATCCGTGAAACAATAGCCATTAGAAATGCACGAGTTGTGTAAGCACAAGGATTGATGTTTGGAAATCTCAGTTTGTGGTTGCTAGTCAGCGTGCACTCAGAGCTGTGTGATCTACCTCTCTGCTCAGGCTTTATAGCTACAGGAGTCTTTATTTATTTCTCCCTGAGTTCTCTGCTTTTTACTGTTGTTGATTGTTGTGAACTTTGCCAGGAGAAGCTGTCTGCTTCTTTTGATCGGCTGTTGACGGGAGCAGGCTGGAAAGCATTACCTTTGCCTTAAGAACTTTACTTGACTTTTCAACATCTTTATAAGTCATTCAGCCAGCTAGTGTGATCAAACATACCCTTGGGTGTTGGTGTGTGTGGAGTTAACATCTCTCAGGTGCACTCAGGTGGATGTATACAGAGAAGTAAATTAGTAGGTGTCAGGACATCAAACTACGTCCTTATGTTCAGGTAGACAGTATCCATTGCTCTCCCCGCATCAGCCAGGCCAATTGCTTTGTGTAGAAGATTAGCATGGTGTCTCCTTTGTGATTCCTTGCTGAGAGCATTAGATATGCAGCAGCAGTGTAGAGATGCCCATCTTAATAGCAGGGACAGTGCAACAGGACATAAGTGTTCCAGATGGCGGTAGCTTCCTTTTCTGAGTGATAGAGAAGCCAGTGAGGAGATTAGACTTCATTCTTATCAGGGAAGGGCATCAATATACTGGAGAGCCACCAAAGTAGCAAGAGCTGGAGCACTTTCCATGTGAGGGGAGGCTGAGAGAGCTGGGCTTGTTCAGTCTGGAATGGAGATGATGTTGGGGGGATGTTATGGGGGACCCAGTGCCTGAGACATCATCAAGGAGATACTGTGTCATGTAAGGACAAGAGAAAACAGACATAGAATCACAGAGTCGTTAAGGTTGGAAAAGACCTCAGAGATCATCTTGTCCTACCATCGACCCCTCCCCACCATGCCCACTAACCCATGTCTCTCAGTGCCACCTCTCCACGGTTCTGGAACACGTCTAGAGATGGTGACCACCACCCTGGGCAGCCTGAGCCAGCGCCTCACCACTCTGTCTGAGAAAATCAGGTGGAAGTAGAGGCCCAGCATGGGTATAAGGAGACACTTCTTACTGTAGCCCTGAGCAGTCTGCGCCAACATCAGAGCTGAGCCTGCTGTGAGCAGGAGGCTGCACCGGAGACCTCAAGGCCCTTTCCAGCTTCAGTTGTTTTTGTTTTCATGATGTTACGAGCTTTAAATTGCACTGTTTGCCCATATTATTAAAGTATGTCTTATTCCTTTCTGAACAGTTTGTTGGAAGAGTAGTTTGCTGTAGGTCAAACTAGTATAGATTGTGACCAGCTATTTTGGATTAGGTCGCACTAAACTAAACTATTACATAGTTTAATAGCAACTTAAAATACTGTTTAATTTCTGTTATGATTAATTTTAGCACTGATCAAACTTATTTTGTTTCAGATAAATGCAAATGAAATACAGAGATTTTCAGATTTTCCACTGTCAAAGAAAACCCTGAAAGGTCAGTGTAAAAATTTTCTTTAGAAAGTAATTATATTAGGAATGAATTATTTCCATATGAATAAATTTTTGCCTTAAACAAACTTTTAGATGATTATTGCTTGGGGCGGTGTGGCTGGAGGACTGCGTAGAGGAAATGGACCTGGGGGTATTGATTGATGCTCGGCTGAACATGAGCCAACAGTGTGCCCAGGTGGCCAAGAAGGCCAATGGCATCCTGGCTTGCATCAGAAACAGTGTTGCAAGCAGGAGCAGAGAGGTGATTGTTCCCCTATATTCAGCTCTGGTGAGGCTGCACCTCGAGTACTGTGTCCAGTTTTGGGCCCCTCACTGCAAGAAAGATATTGAGGCCCTGGAACGTGTTCAAAGGAGGGCAACAAAGCTGGTGAGGGGTCTGGAACACAGGCCATATGAGGAGAGGCTGAAGGAGCTGGGAATGTTCAGCCTGGAGAAGAGGAGGCTCAGGGGAGACCTTATTGCTCTCTATAACTTCCTGAAGGGAGGTTGTAGTGAGCTGGGGGTCGGCCTCTTCTCTCGTGTCATTAGTGATAGGACCAGGAGGAATGGCTTCAAGCTACGGCAGGGGAGATTCAGGCTGGACATGAGGAAGTATTACTTTTCAGAAAGGGTGGTCAGGCACTGGAATGGACTGCCCAGGGAGGTGGTGGAATCACCGACCCTGGGGGTGTTCAAGGAAAGACTGGATGTTGTGTTGAGGGACATGGTTTAGTAGGAGCTATTGGGAATAGGTGAATGGTTGGACTGGGTGATCTTTTAGGTCTTTTCCAACCTTAGTGATTCTATGATTCTATGATTCTATGATTGCCATATACAGTGTTTTGTAAATGGAAAAACGTAGCTCTGGGTGAGACAAAAATGATTTTTTTTTTCTCTTCCCTTCCATTCCCTTCCTATTCCCCAAATACTAGGACTGCAGGAAGCTCAGTATCGCATGGTGACTGAGATACAGAGGCAAACCATAGGTTTGGCTTTACAAGGTAAAGATGTACTTGGAGCTGCCAAGACTGGATCGGGGAAAACCTTGGCTTTTATTGTACCGGTAAGTAGTTGACATCATTTGCACTTAAGCCTAAGAAGTTACCTGGGGATAAGAGGATGTTAAATACTTACGGTTAGTGATCTTGTGAGAAAGGTTGTAACTCAAGTGATGTAAGCATTCTTAGTCTGCCTTGGCTTTCTAATATAAGGAAACTGCCTGAGGTTCTAGGAAAGGTATATCTTTGTCCCTAGGATGCTTAGAAATCTCATTTTGATCCTTGTATCAGTGGGCCTTGTGTGAACTAGGAAGACCTTTGTTTTTCTTTCAGCAATGTATTTTCTTTGTGCAACTCTTGTTGTCAGATTCTTTTGAAAACTACGTGTATGGATTACAACTATGGATTAGGCTTCTTTGGATGTTTGGTTTTCATACAACTAAAATTTCAAGATTTAGCCCTTATCTGATAAACTGAAAGACAGCAGAGACTGTAGATTTCCTATTCTTGACTGTGTTTTTGGACTCCTTGGAAATCACTTCCAGGTCCAACCAGGAAAACAATAAATCCCCCACTGGGAGTGGTGCATTTGCTCTTTTACTCAAAATGTTACAAGCTGCAAATTCCTTCAATTCCTTCAAATTGAAAATATAATTGAGAAGTTTCTGTGTTTCTTTAAAGTGCACATATAAATGCATGCAAAACCCATCATCTTGTGATTGGAGGAAGGGAAGACAAAATGTGGTTTTGATTATGGAGGTTTTTTGATTTAAACACTATTTGGCATTTTTGCAACATTAAATTGCTTTGGAGCCTGTTCTGTCAGTGACTGTGGTAAAGTAGTATGCATTCTGAATACTCTCAAGCTGAGAAGATTTATTCTTTACACTGTTTACTTTCATTACTAAAGAGTAGGAAACAACGTAGTTGGCTTTGGAAGATAGTCTTGTGAGTTTGAGAAATGAAACAGAAGTGAGATTGCAGAAATCGTAGATTATAGAATGGCCTGGGTTGAAAAGGGCTACAATGATCATCGATTTTCGACCCCCTGCTATGTGTGGGGGTCTAATGCCAGCCACCAGACCAGGCTGCCCAGAGCCACATCCATCCTGGCCTTGAATGCCTCCAGGGATGGGGCATCCACAGCCTCCTTGGGCAACTTGCACCAGTGCGTCACCACCCTCTGTGTGAAAAACTTCCTCCTCATATCCAACCTAAACCTCCCCATCTTTGTTTAGTCCTATCACTGTCCACCCTCATAAACAGCCGTTCCCCCTCCTGTTTATAAGCTCCCTTCAAGTACTGGAAGGCCACAATGTGATCTCCCAGGAGTCTTCTCTTCTCCAAGCTAAACAATCCCAGTTCCCTCAACTTTTCCTCATTGGAGAGGTGCTCCGGCCCTTTGATCATCTTAGCGGTCACCAGCTCTGTTCTGTACCCATGCCCTTAAGGACAGTTTCTCACATGATCCCATCCGGCAGTTCCTTGAGCAGCTGGAAGTTTGCTTTCCTAAGCATGGGGTCCCGACTGCTTTTTGCCCCGCCTGCATTCTTCAAGCTCACAAACTCCACCAGGGCGTGTCACTACATCCCTGTCTGCCTCCAGTCTTAACCTAATACTCTCCTTCCACATTGGTAGGCACCAGGTCCAGCAGGGCTTCAGCTAGGAAATCTAGAAGCAGAAGTAATTTTATGGACCGAATTTTAAAATGGTTTTAGGGATAAGAAAGTATATAGGCAGAGTAGAAAAAAATGGTAAGAGGGTGCTAAACAACCTTTGATATTTCAAAAATACTTCAGGTATTTCTATCTATGAAGTCTTTGTGTTAAGATTAGCTAAGACTGTGAACTTGTAAGAGGGGAAACAATCCTGGACTGAGATATGTGGTAACACTAGGTGGAATGCTCCGTGTGCACCATGCGTGTATGATATTACTGTATGGCTAAAACCTAAATTAAGGTCACACTAATCGTCTTCCTTCTAGTTGCACTTTCTGATTTTCACAGAGCCTTATGACCAAGGAACATTTATTCAACAAGTATCAGTACCATCAGAATTCATATATAACCAAACCGTGTGAAATGCATTCAGATGTTTCTTCATTATTTGCATTAGGAATGCTTTATCTTTTTCTGTGACTCTTCTTGTTACATATTTTTCTTCTGAGTTTTTTCTAATGAGAAAGACATTTCTGTTCAGGCTTTGGAACTCCTCTACCGCCTTCAGTGGACTTCAGCAGATGGACTGGGAGTTCTGATCATATCGCCCACCCGGGAGCTGGCCTTTCAGACTTTTAAGGTGCTGCGTAAAGTGGGGAAGAATCACGACTTCTCAGCTGGCCTTATCATTGGAGGAAAGGTGTGTTCTCTGTTGGAGCCTGCTGTGAGGGAGCATAGATAAGTGCTGTAGTAAGTTTAGGAAGGAAACTCTGCAAAACAGAAGAAAGTAGAAGGAAGAAAGTAGTTAATTGGAAGCAATTAGAGACACACTAATTTTCCTGTCTAATTTTCCTCCACTATGTCTTTTAAAGCTCTTGCATATTTACCATCTTTACAGGTTATGTGACGGGTCAAACTTTCTCCCAGCCCTTCCTGTCCTATTAAATCAGATTGCTCTGAAGAACATTTGCACAAGCCTCTAGTGTGTGTGCGCTGATAAACTGTGGTGAATGTATAAAAAAAGGGAAATCTTGATTCTTTCTGTAAACTGTCAGTAGGTTGAGCTGGGCTGAGATCTCTGCTACTGGGCTTCTGGTATGAAAACAACCAGAGCTCAGCTGGTTTAACATATTTTCAGGATCTGAAAGAAGAGTCTGAGAGAATCCACCACATAAATATGCTCATTTGCACTCCAGGACGGCTTCTGCAGCACATGGATGAGACCTCGTATTTCTATGCATCTGATCTGCAAATGCTGAGTAAGTTGTTGAGTGCGTCACAAAACATAGAAATATTGCGTAGTAGTACATAATTAAGAGGGGCACTCTCTTGGTTGTTAACTTTATTCTGGTTTTTGTATGTAGATAAAAGAACGTTTAAGTTTGCACACGCACAAATTTAAGTGGGAAACAGCACAATTCCTTTCTTTTATGCATTTGCTCTCAAAGCAGTAGCTAAGAGTTGTGTTCCTTAGAATGATAATAACAAGTAGGTGAGTTAAGTAATGAACCAAAACTACGTGCAATATCCCATATTACCCTTCTGGTATGTTTTAGCTACAAGATGGCCTTTGCTTCCTGCCCCTGGCTCGTTTTTCATGATATGATAATGAATATTTCTTATAGTTTATTACGGCTTATGTATTTTGGGCTGATTCTAGAAAACATACTTCTTTTTGAATTTTAAGCCAGATTAATGCTTCTTCCAACCTGAATACAAATTTCAGCTTAATGGGAGGGTTTGCTCGCCTCTAAGAACTGTGTATAATCTTTAGCATAGCTGAGGAACTTAGAAGCAATTAACAAGCTAGTGAAGCTGATAAATTGCAAAACCAGGCTTGTTATACTCAGTGCTGTTCATGGCAGTTAGATTAGATTTGCATTAAATGTAGACTCTTCTTCAAGTTTTCTGTTTCATCCCTATGATGCAATGGCTAATTGAGCTTAGGCACAGAAGAGCCTGTTTTTCTCTGTCTTTTATGGTACAGCACTGTTTTATATTGCATGCTTTTGTTTTAGTAGTAGGGTGGGGAGTTGGTAATTTACAGGCTGTCTGCACATTACTGAGCTTTTTTATTTGGAATACTTAGCTTCCTATGCTTCAGCATGTGAATGGAGGGCTGTAGTGCATAGGTTATGGAAAATGCTATGACTTACACTGCAGCTTTCTAAACCTATTTTATGGAGTATGTGAATATCCGTAGCAAATCCTGTCATATATGGTAACTGATCTCTGCAGTTTAAGGAGGTGTGGATTTTTGTGCTTTACGGATTTAAAGTCTGTAATAACAAAAGGAAAGCTAAAAACAGGTTTTCTCAAATCTGTTTCTCAATTCAGTTCTTGATGAAGCTGATAGAATTCTCGACATGGGTTTTGCTGATACAATGAATGCAATCATAGAAAATTTGCCTAAGAAACGCCAGACTTTGCTTTTTTCTGCAACGCAAACAAAATCAGTGAAGGATCTCGCACGGTTGAGTTTAAAAGATCCGGAGTATGTTTGGGTTCATGAGAAAGCCAAATTCAGGTATGTTGATGATTTATTTTTTGTGGGAAGGTTAAACGGATTGAGATCCTAGTTCACTTGCTTCTCTGAGTGTTGTTTTCCTGAATCTGAAGTCATGCTTCCTTCTCCTTCCATCACTCAGACCTTGCTGCGTGCCATCCTGAAAGCAGGCTGTTGCAGAAGAGAAGTTACTAGTTCTGGCTGGTGTGCTATGGGGGCATTGAGCCTGCACTTTGTGGCTCTTCAGGCTCCTCTTCTGGCTGCAAGTTTATTTTGCTTGCCAATAAGCTGCAGACTGGACTGCGTCCTGGTTGAAGTGGTGTCCAGGCTGTGGCATGTGTCACTTCTGAATTGCTACTTGTTGTCTTCTTTGTCTTCCTTCACGTATGTGTGTGTGTACTAACTGTGTGGGGGCAGCAGATTTGTTGAATGAACATGGTTCTTCAGTATGTAGTTAATGAATCTGACCTTGCAAGAAAATGCTACTCTATTGGGACCATGCAGAATGACAGTCTTGTTTGCATATTGGTGCCCAGCAGGAAGCGTCTGGCATATGTCTGTGTGCATCAAGACCTGTTGCTTCCAGAAGAACTGAGTTTACTGTGCACAATCAGGACTGCAGCCCTGTGCACACCCAAAATAAAATTGGCATGCTGTGCAATTTGGCTCTAACTGAAAAAAAGTGCATGTTCTTTTTTTATGGCAGATAGATTTTGAAAAGGGGAAAAAAGCGAAGAATTCTGCTTAAAGCCCACAGAAAAGCAAAATCTTATTCTCTTGGTGCCAAAAGGCTTATGAACATGTATGACTTTTTTACACCTGTCCTAAGGAATGTGTAAATGTTTCTGTACATAAAATGAAGGTGGAGAAAGGTGGAGCACACTGATAAAAATGGCTTACCTCAGAGCAAATGAGAAATCATTGCCAAAATGAACAGTAGAAAGAGGTTGAATCCTGAGGCAGTGTTTTAATGAACTGCTTGTCTGGATTCTCTTTATTGCTCTGCTGATGCCTTCGATAGTATTTTCTTTTCCTTCCAGTCAGTGTATTAAATAAACATGATTGCTTGGAAAAAAATGTAGTTACTCTCCTTGTGTCAGAAGAGGTTGTAGGCTTAGCATGGAGTCTTCAGTTTGCAGACTGTCTATTTCACAAATGGTGTTTTTTGAGAAGTCTACTTAAAGTACACTTGAGGTTTTTAAAATATTGGGGAAATACAGTTAGATAATGAACTGAATCAAGAAAAGGAAACTTCAATTTGTTTTAGAGTTTATGACTTTAATACGTAGTACATTGTTGTGTTATAGGGACAGTTTCCTCTGAAAGATCTACAGGGCAAAAATAATAAAATAATAAAATAATACTGCGATGTAATTCAAATTGAGTAGTGAATAAAAACTGGAGCAGCATCTTGTCATTTTGTTCTTCTAAGTGGCACCTTCAATGCAGTAAAGTAAATTTAAATACCCTTGGTCTGTCCAGGGAGAAGCAGAGGGACTGCGATGAGCATTTAGATGTATTTCCAGGGCAAAGATGCCTTTTTTGAAAGAAGTTATTTTGCAAGTAACTGCAAGGTGACTTAAGATCATAGTTCGGTGCTTTACAAAGTGACTTCACATGTCAGGATGTAATCAGTAATACGTCAATGCTTTTTTTTGTCTGCAAGTTTAGACTGTGCTTTGACATTGCCTGGAGCACAAATGGAGCTTTAATAGCACTAATAGGCAAAATTACATTTTAAGTCAAAGCAATTTGAATGTCGCTGCTTTGAGATGGAAAGAGTTGGTTGTGCTGCTAATGGATGAATTGAGAAGTAATGCCAGAAGTTGCCTCCTGCCCTTCTTCTCTCCCCTGACATTTTCTCAGGAGTTTGATTCTCCTGATAATAGCTTTCTAGTTGGTCTGCCAAAGACTTGTTTCTCAAAGCAGGACGACTTTCCAGCCTGACTTTTTTTTTTTCCATTTTGTGGGTGCTTGTCAGACACTTGATTTAAAAGTAAAGAAAAGGCAGGCAGCTCTGTAGATTATAAATACCTGTATTTTCCTCTCTTTTATTTCTTTGCTTTAATGTTACGATTACTGTGGTACCTGATTTTTTTTTCTTCTAATATATTTTTCTTAAGTACCCCAGCAACTTTGGATCAGAACTACATTGTTTGTGAGCTTCAACACAAAATAAATGTGTTGTACTCTTTCCTGAGAAGTCACTTGAAAAAGAAGAGCATTGTGTTTTTTGCAAGCTGTAAAGAGGTATGACTATTTTATTTCACTGTATTTTCATTTTCTCTGTAGCGTTCCGGGTTACAGACTTGAATATTTTGCAGCTGCTTTCTTTCAAAGATTTTAAAGGTAGTTAGGTAAGAAAGTTTAATTGTGAGATAGTATGGGAAAGAATTGTAGAATCATCAAGGTTGGAAAAGACCTTTGGGATCATCTAGTCCAGCCAACCACCCACCATCTCCATTTCTCCATGAACCGTGTCCCTCAGCACAACACCTAGTTTTTTCTCTTGAATGTCTCTAGGGATGGTGACTCCTCCACTTCTATGGGCAGCCCATTCCAGTACTTGACCACTCTTTCACAGAAGAAATTCTTCCTAACATCCGACCTGAACCTTCCCTGGTGCCATTCTCTCTCATCCTGTTGCTAGTTATGCTGGAGAAGAGGTTGACACCCCCTCAGCACAGCCTCCTTTCAGGCACTTGTAGAGACTGACAAGGTTTCCTCTGAGCCTCTTCTCCAGGCTGAACAATCCCAGTTCTCTGAGCTACTCTTTGTTAGACTTGGGCTTCAGTGTTTTCATTCTGGTTATCTAGGAAATAATCCTTGAGTTGTCTGCTTATAGCGCTGTCTTGGGATCATTCTGTTGAAGTTATTAGTATGTGGTTATATGGCACAGGCTTTCATATAACTTCTGTATTTATCTAATATTTTACTGTGTATTTTCCAAATACAATTGTGAAGTAAATATTCACTGTTCATCCAGTGCGAGAGGTTACAGTATTTTTTTGTACTGTGGTTGGCTACTGAGCACAGTGAAGTTGCAGGCTTACTTGTACAGAAGTTCTCCGTGTTGCAGTTGTTATTGAACAGTTTCTGTAACTATCTTTAAAATTATTAGGTATGTCTACTATAAAGTAATGCTGTATGTAACAGTAAACACTGTCTAGGAGAAGCTGTTGAAGCTGTGTTAAGTGCAAGCAGAAGATACTGTATTCCTCCAGCAGTGTCTAAAATCTTTGGTCCCTTGCATATGACATCATTATTTGTGTACAACCTCATTCTGGCTGCTACAGGTTCCCATTTCTGTTAGGAAATTCCATCAGTAGGAATACCAGAGCTTTACCACAGTTTGTTTCCTATTATTGTACCTGAGTGCATGACAGCATTTCTTATTGTGTGTCTTATCTCTGATGTGGAGGAAAGTGTTTTTTACTCGGAGTGCTAAGTCTATTGTGATGTACTGCATGTTGTTTTTATTGTGTGATGTTAAATCTGTTTGTTGGTTTTCCCTCCCACACTCCTCCCCCCCCCCAATTTGTTGGATAGGTCCAGTATCTATTCAGAGTGTTTTGTAAGCTCCAACCTGGTCTTCCTGTACTGGCACTGCATGGCAAGCAGCAACAGATGAAGAGGATGGAAGTCTACACATGTTTTGTTCGGAAGAAGGCGGCAGTACTTTTTGCTACAGATATTGCAGCACGTGGCCTGGGTATGTACCCACAGAAGTAGTCTTTATTCACAAAGTTAAGATTTTATGCCATTAAAACTCTGTCAGTGACAGTATGCTTTGATCACCTGATTTGTAAGAAATGAACCTGCAGTTTGCTTGGGAGCCAAAACATATGCTTCTTAAAGAGTTCTGCTGTTTGTTTGCTGGAGTTGCCAGCTTCGTTTGCTCTTCGTTTTTGTCCCAGAAAGACCTAAACTGTCACTAGTCTTATTATGATGTTTATTAATAAAATAGTCAGTGGAAGCTATTTTTTTTCCCCCTCCAGTCTGTGGACAGTTTAGTTTTCCTAGCTGGAAGGCAGTCTGGTCTTTCCAGCCATGTTGTGTGACGAATATCCAGAATGAGAGAAGGTGGAAATAGTGACGTATTGGCTTACTGCATGCCGTAAGGAAGATTTCAGCAGCTTTAAATATTTCTGATATGCCTGCATCCTGTGGGTTATTCCATAGCATGTGTTCAAGAGGTGTCTGGATGAGGAGCTACAAGGTAGCAATGGTAGTGGGAGGATGGTTGGACTAGATGACCTTGTAGTGCTTTCCAACCTTGTGATTCTATGAGTAGCACTATAATGCTGTATTCTTAAAGAGGCAGAATAATAGATGATGGGCAGGAATATTTTATAGGCCTGTTTTAGTTTGAGTTTCTTTTCTTTCATCATTACTTGCTTAATTATGATTTCTTTCTTCATATGTTTTATAGATATTTGGACTTGACTTTTTGTACTTGGCTGATTTTATGTATGACATGAGAACCTTTTTAGGAGTTTACTATTTCTTCTTTCAAATAGGAAGCTCATTGTCCAAAATCCAAGATTTTGTCAGTAATTTGCAAGAGGAAGGTACTCAGAAAATGGAAAACAGAAGTGCAGATGGCTTATCATGCCTTCTGCACTGCTGACATCTCACTAGTGAGGAGCTAATGTGGGTATTGGTTAAGTTTCGAGAGTATGTATAACTGTCCTATGGCATATGCAGACTTGGTCAGGGAGTAATACTAATTATTTACTGCAGTGCAAAGCATGCTGCTTCTGGATGAAGTACAGCAGTTGGAAGGGTCTCGTAAATGCTATAATTCACATAGAGAGGTGACTCCTTTGGCAGGGTTGGTCACCCCCTCAATTTTGCTGAGTGTGTGTGATATTTCTGTACTTGGATGGCTGAAGTAGTGCTGTGTCACCATAGCTAACTTCAACCCCAAAGAGCCTGTTGGATCTTGTTATTTATTAATGTAGTGTTTTATCATCTATGTGACACAAAGCTTGTCTGCTCTTGTCAAGTGTGAAATTATGTTCCATTCAGTGCACTGTCATAATTTGGAAAATGAAGACACCATTAATTTTAGCTTTCTTTGATGAAGAGGATGACTGTTTATGATATGCTAATACATGCACTTAATTTTATTTTTATTTCAGAGGTTGCACTTAGTGTCTATAAATTGGTTTAAATGATGGTTCCTACAGAAATTAATGCTCCAAAATATTATGTTGCCCTTGATTAGGAGGGTTTTGAGTCAAGTGAGCTTAAATTTTGGCATCTTTTTTTCTTTGCAGATTTTCCAGCAGTGAACTGGGTCATTCAGTTTGATTGTCCAGAAGATGCAAACACATACATCCATCGAGTGGGAAGAACAGCCAGGTTCATATTCACTTCTCACTAATATTTAAATGTTTAAAATTAGATAGCTATCAGGACAAATAATTGGCTGGCTGCACGCTTGCTTGAAAAAAATCAGGACAAAAATTGGAAGGAAGAGAAGGGCTGCTGTCACCAAAAGATGCTTTTGATTATCTAGAAATAACGGTCTAACTTAATGTTTCATTAGTGAGAGACTCCTTACAGCAGAAAGAAAGACCATGTCTAGTTGTTTATTCTGATCAGGGAAGATTAAGAGTGAGGAAGGAAAAGTTCTCTTTTGTACTTGGCAGGATTACCTCACTAGCTGAGCTGAGCAAATTTGTGAGTGGAAATGCTTGTTTTGCCAATGCAGTGTATAGATAAATACAACTTAAAAGTGTGTGTGCTTTTTCTTTTTGTCATTGCAGACTCTTCAAAAGAATGGAGGTTTTTTTTTTTCTTATTTTGATTTGAGGAGGAAGGAATTGAACAATGTTATCTACGGGTTAAATTTTCAGTTTTCTAAGTCACTGGTAGAATTCTATTCATAGGGCTAGCCTTAGTTAAAATATTTGTGGTTGAGTCCTTCTGAAGGAAAGGAGTTACCTAAAAATGCCTATGAGAACCTCATCCTCGGTTTCTGAAATGGGTTTTTAAAAGAAAGTGAAGTTACTACTGCATAATTTGGTAGATGAAAAGCTTTACTCAGTTATCTGAAGGGTGACATGCAAGACCTGGCGTTATGTCTTGTACATCACTGACCTTGTTTGTAGTAGGCTTTTATCATTGTGTTGCAGTGGAAGTGGAAGTCAAGCATAGTGACAGAACTGTTTCCTGGAGTAGGATTTAGTAGTCAGCACTACCAAATCTGTGTTTCTGGATCAGATTGCATCAAATTTTGTACTTCCAGAAAATTCCAGAATCTGGAATTTTTAGCCAATACTTTTAAATCTGCTTGGTATCTTTTCTGCCCTACTCTTTCCTGTGTACTGTATTTTCCTATCTACTTTTTGTTGTAGAAGGGACCATTGAATTTTTAAATGCTCTTGGAAACATCTATGAGCAGAATCAGTGACTGTTAGATGTAATTAGATGATATATATATAGCTAATTCCATGGGTCCCAACTTAGGGAAAAAAACCATAGACGTAGAGGTCTGTGAAGTGGTATTTTGTGTTTGTTTTGTTTATATTCTATGTGTCTTCCTATGAAAGCTTGTAATTCTGTCTATGGTATAATGTCAGAGTGGAAAGGAAAGCAATGCGTTTAGTGCTGTTTAATTGGAAGATTATAAAAGGCATGTTGAGACGTTTTTGAGCTACATCTGTGCTTTAGCACAACCCCAAAGTGTGGCACAGCCCTTACACCTTTTCCCATTCTTTTTAAGTGCCAAGAATCATTATTAGTAGTTCTAGAAGGCAGGAACTACTATGTAAAGATAAGGACCACCCATTTCTCTCAAAGCTTTCAGTGAGGTACCACTGACTGGATCCTTATTCTTGCAGCTCTAAGGGTAGCCAGACCTTACCTAAACTGTGTGTACATCTGGGCAAATTATTTGGCTCTGGGCAGCCTGGTCTAGTGCTTAGTGACCCTGCCTGTGGCAAGGGGGTGGAAACTAGATGATCGTTCTGGTACTTTTCATCCCAGGCCATTCTATGATTCTATGATTTGAACTGGTAGTATTGAGTCTAATACTGAAAGCAAATTCCTTCTGTAGGGAAAGTTTTACAGGTATTTTCTGTCTTATAATCTTGTGCAAAGATCAGAGAAGGTCCTGCCCTACACTGGGCTTTCATTTTGGACAAATGTTAGGCTCTCTTTCCTTGAATTAAAGCATTTCTGGAAATATGATGTAAAGATCACTGGATGAATCTCAAATAAACTCTAGAGGACGGAAGATGTCTACTAGCTTTAGGTACATACTGTGTACTAAGTAAATAGTGCAGTTTTGGACATGGGTAGTTGAGAACATGTTTCTTTGTAAACTCTGAATACTGAGTAGGAAACTTCACTTGTTTGCAGTAGCTGCAGTTAGGATGAGAGAAGCTTGGTTTTTTTTTTCTTCTAGAAATGTGATAGAAGTGAACTGTAGTTTAGTTGTCCTCATTAATGAAGTTAGATTTAATTACAAATTTTCATGGGTTACAAGAGTGTGTAATTGCATGGAATGAAAGCTTAATTAAATATCTCAGCTAATTAGGAGAGTGTGTGAAGCTGTAATTAAAATTGGGGTGCCAAATACTGTTTACTTCTGAAATCAAATTATTTTATGATATGAAAGTAAATACGAAAGTCAAGAAAGAAATTATTTTCGGAAGGGGGTTGAAAAATGTTTGACTAACTTAACACTTGTGGATGTGTTCCCACATCTGTTTTTTGGCAGTATTACTAAGCAATATCTAAAATGAAAGATAAAGATTGATTTCTTTTTTTTTTTAAATGGAAAAGACCACCATGTTGTGTAGGTAGCACTTCACTTGCATTGCATTCTACTGAAGCATAAATTGTGGTTTTAGTTTTTTTGATTTATGGGACAGTAAGATCAAGAACTTCTGAATGTTGGCCAGTAATGCTTTTACTTCATAGTAGAATTGGCATATCTAGATTTTGATTTAACTTGAAAAGTATGCTGCTGTTGGAATAATTGAAGCTATTTCTTCCAGCTGCATCTTAAAGTATTTTTGTAAAGTCTTAACTAGTTCAGTTATAAAGTTTCTGAATGGCTGACAATATTGCAGCCATGCCCAAAAATATTTTCTGGCTTGATTTTTGTCATACGGTCTCTTAGTGAAGTCTATTATTTAAAATATCACATCAAAGTATTTTTCTGTGGGTTTTAGTTTCAAAAATTCTTAATAAATAAGAGATTTGTAGCAATTATCTGCAAAACTCTGTTCTGATTCTTAATTGCACTTTATGGCTGCCTTTCTTGTAGTCTGTGAAGCCAGAATTGAAAATATTCTTTGATCACTTTTGTGAAACAAGTTGCAGTGCCACTAGGGGACAGCAGAAGATAATTCTATATGAAGCACACTGATAACCATTTTTTTTCCCCCCAAATTGTTTTTCTAAATATAACTGTATATAAGTCATATAGCATGAAAGTAGCATATACAGGGAAGTTTTTCTTTCAGTCATGATTACACTGATGAGTTGAAAAGATGTTTAAATGTCTATTCTATCCTTCCATTCATGTGTAAATATCTTGTATTTTGGCTGTACTCATCCTGGGGTGTCTCAATAATTAATTACCTTCTTTCCTAGTATTGCATTCTCCCCTCTATTACTTTCCTTCAGAGGAGACTATAGAATCTGTTTCTTGAGTTTAATGATTCTGTCTGTCGCGAGTCTTTTTTATAATGACACGAAAGCTGAAATTTAAAACAGAATAAATCTTTGCTCTACATTTTTTCTCTCTGCTATATCCAGAGCTTTATATGAGTCTGACCCAGGCTCTGATTTCTCATAGTTGTGATATTTAATTCTGGTAAGGGGGTAGGTTTGTTAGGTGCTTTAATTGATTTAGGAAAATCACTGTGGGTTGTTACTGTTTTTTGTTCTTGTTAAGTGTAATATGTGGCTGCAAATGGGCAAATATATTTTGTTTGGCCATATATGTGCTGTTTGCCATATTTTGAAAATTGGAAAGTAGAAAGTCTCACTTTCCGAAGTGAGATACTCTATTACCTACTGCTGTGTGCTAGCTGGTATTATGATCTAAGCCAAGAAGTACGAGTGATGACTTAGAGCAGTAGCCTCTCTCATGCTATGTGTATACTCAAGAATGCATTCCAGCTTCATGTTCGACAAGGCCAAGGGCAAAGTCCTGCCTGAGTCGAGACAATCCCAAGCACAGATACAGGCTGGGTGGAGAACGGCTTGAGAGCAGCCCTGAGGAGAAGAGTTTGGGGATGTCGGTTAATGAAATACTCAGCATGAGCTGTCAGTGTGAGCTGGCAGCCCTGAAGGCCAACTGTGTCTGTTGTAGGCAACTGTGAGACCACCCCCCCCCCCCCCGCGGCCCCACGGTGTCCTGGGTTGCATCAAGAGAATTGTGACCGGCAGATTGAGGGAGGTGATTCTGCCCCTCTGCTCTGCTCTTGTGAGATCCCATCTGGAGTATTGTGTCCAGTTCTGGAGCCCCCAGCACAAGTAGGACATGGAGCTGCTGGGTCCAGAAGAGGGCCATGAGGATGATCAGAAGGCTGGAGTACCTCCCTTATGGGGGCAGGCTGAGAGTGCTGGGGCTCTTCAGCCTGGAGAAGGATCTGAGGACACCTTGTGGTGGCCTTCCAGTACCTGAAGGGGCCTGCAGGAAAGCTGGGGAGGGCCTTATTTTAAGGGTGGGTAGTGATATGACAAGGGGAAATGGCTTTAAACTGATAGAGGGTAGATTTAGACTAGATAATAGGATGAGATGCTTTACTGTGAGGATGGTGAGACACTGGAATGAGTTGTCCAGTGATGTTGTGGATGCCCCCTTCCTTGGAACCATTCAAGGCTGGGCTGGATGGGGCTGTGAGCAAGCTGGTCTACAGGGAGGTGTACCTGTATGTAGTAGGAGGGATTTTGAAGCTAGATGATCTTAAAGGTCCCTTCCAACCCAAACTCTGCTATGAATTCAATTTATGATAACACCAGCAGAGTACAGCTGGTGATGATAACACCAGCAGAGTACAGCTGGTGAGCTACTGCCTTTTCTTGTCTATTGTTTTTTTCTGACTGACTTGAAAAGAGTGACAACTAGCCAGTATGGCTAAATGGAGGGGAGTATGGCTCTGTGACACAAACAAAACCTAGCTGCGTGGTTCTCAGAACTTGTTACTGGATGCAGGCGCTGCTCTGAAAGTGGTGCCTCCAACTTTACTGTATTGGCTAATGACAACTGAAGTGGATGCTGGTGGTATGGCAGTAGAGGTTGAACCTTCCCAACAACATTCCATTGCGTTTTGTTGCTGTGGCAGAGGGACAGGCTGACAAATGGTGTCTGACATGGAAGTGCTTATGAAGCAAAAGCG